TCAATAAATATGAAACAAGTGAAGATAGTATTTAAGAACAATTAAGAAGAAGATGAATTATAGGAAAAGTAAAAATCACGCACAATAGTTTATTTGATTAATTATTTCCCTTTCGCTTTCATTGATGGTAATTTCGTGCACGGTTCAAACAATAATTCATTGTTTATGGATGGGGAAAGTAATATGATGTGATCAAAAATGGATAAAAAACTTTTATTATGAAAAAGTAGTAGATTCATTACACGAAATGAAATACTATATAATGCAAAGAATAACTGCACAAAATTGATCTCTGCTTATAGCACACGTCAAAATTCATCCGAATTTAAGTAATTCATGAGATGATGATGAAATCATGAGATATCCCCCTTTCTCATCCCCTAATATCGTTTATGGATGGGAAGGAAATCCCAAGTCCAGTGTTTACTCCTACTCCAGTAAACGGTACGCCTACACCAAAGTTTGTGCCAACCTGAAACAGTTGTCCTATTACAGTGAGGAAAAGAGGTAAGTTTTGGGTAGCCTACCTGTCCGTTCATATAATCGACGCCTACATGCTGATTTTGCTGATAATAAGGACCAACACCTCCGCCAACATCTACACCTATTGGTTTGCCAAGCTCACCTTGCTTGACTGGCACCGATACCTGGACAGAAAATTTGAGAAAAACAGAAAAGGATTGAAATTTGGCGATGAGCCAACCACTGCATGCGTGTCTCCTTCTACTCCTAGCGATTGTACGAGAGGAACGCTCCATCCAGATTTGTACCCATATTTACCTTCATACCAATTTGCACCTACTTCCATCGTCTGGGACCAATAATCTCTGTAGATTGTAAGCGTCGATTTAAAAATTGTTGGTTTTTGAAAAATCGCTGGTATCAGTGGCGGACTAACAATAAGAGACGGGATTACTGGGATCTCACACCAAAGACAAGGTTACATTTTTTATTTTCAAAGTGACCTACATGAATTATAAAAATGGTGCAAACGACTTATAAGGACTTTTTACCATGAGGACTTACAATAGTTAGAGTTTTCTATTTGGATTAACTTTGCAAAATTTTCCAAGGGTGCCGTCGTGCCGATACTTTTGCCTTTTTCGAAATCTCTCGGTTAAAAACATGCAAAAAAGATAAAAAGCACCCCGGATTTTTTTAAAGGGCACAACTAACGCCTCCTTCGTTTAGAACAATTTTTTGCGTCCCCCGCACCATCTGGAAATATTTATTGGGCTCGAATGATTACTACTCATACATTGACGTGGCCTTGTTCATGAACATATGCATCACTTTCAAAATTTATTGCATAAATTTTATTTGTTGATTTATTCAATTTTTGCAAAAAAA